AACAATTTACTGACTTGCAGGACTTAACTTTCTCAATCTCAACTTAATTACTTATACCTACCGTGTTATCGGGACTTGCAGGACTTAACTTTCTCAATCTCAACTTAATTACTTATACCTACCGTGTTATCGGGACTTGCAGGACTTAACTTTCTCAATCTCAACTTAATTACTTATACCTACCGTGTTTATCGGGACTTGCAGGACTTACTTTCTCAATCTCAACTTTAATTACTTATACCTAACCGTGTTATCGGACTTGCAGGACTTAACTTTCTCAATCTCAACTTAATTACTTTACCTACCGTGTTATCGGGACTTGCAGGACTTAACTTTCTCAATCTCAACTTAATTACTTATACCTACCGTGTTATCGGGACTGCAGGACTTAACTTTCTCAATCTCACTTAATTACTTATACCTGCCGTGTTATCGGGACTTGCAGGACTTAACTTTCTCAATCTCAACTTAATTACTTATACCTACCGTGGCCTAGATAATTTTAACACTTTTAGCGGTTATCAGGACTTGCAGGACTTGACTTTCTCAATCTCAACTTAATTACTTATACCTACCGTGTGCCTAAAAATTTTAACTCTTTTTTAACGGTTTTTAATTAATCTCTTGCAGGATTTAATTTTTATCAGGACTTGCAGGACTTAATTTTTCGCAACTCAACTTTAATACTTATACCTACCGTGTGCCTAACAATTTTAACACTTTTTTTAGCGGTTATCAGGACTTGCAGGACTTGACTTTCTCAATCTCAACTTAATTACTTATACCTACCGTGTGCCAAAAATTTTAACTCTTTTTTTAACGGTTTTTAATTAATCTCGCAGGATTTAATTTGTATCAGGACTTGCAGGACTTAATTTCTCAATCTCAATTAATTACTTTACCTACCGTGTTATCGGGACTTGCAGGACTTAACTTTCTCAATCTCAACTTAATATTACTTATACCTACCGTGTTATCGGAATTGCAGGACTTAACTTTCTCAATCTCAACTTAATTACTTATACCTACCGTGTATCGGGACCTTGCAGGACTTAACTTTCTCAATCTCAACTTAATTACTTATACCTACCGTGTGCCTAAAAATTTTAACTCTTTTTTAACGGTTTACTTGTGCCTGACATTCTCTTCGCTTCGCTTTACTTTACCGGACAAGTGTTTGCCTTAAGGGGCTTTCCGGGTCTCTGGTGGATTTTTGCGCGCATTGCTTTACTGGACTGGTGCTTGCCTGTAATGCGTCGCTTCTGTCGCGGCTTGCCGACGTTTGGTGGGTTTTGCATTTTTTCAGGTCTTATTTTAACAATTTACTGACTCTTGCAGGACTTAACTTTCTCAATCTCAACCTAATTACTTATACCTACCGTGTTATCGGGACTTGCAGGACTTAACTTTCTCAATCTCAACTTAATTACTTATACCTACCGTGTGCCTAAAAATTTTAACTCTTTTTTTAACGGTTTACTTGTGCCTGACATTCTCTTCGCTTCGCTTTACTTTACCGGACAAGTGTTTGCCTTAAGGGGCTTTCCGGCGTCTGGTGGAGTTTTGCGCGCATTGCTTTACCGGACTGGTGCTTGCCTGTAATGCGTCGCTTCTGTCGCGGCTTGCCGACGTCTGGTGGGGTTTTGCATTTTTTCAGGTCTTATTTTAACAATTTACTGACTCTTGCAGGACTTAACTTTCTCAATCTCAACTTAATTACTTATACCTACCGTGTGCCTAAAATTTTAACTCTTTTTTTAACGGTTTACTTGTGCCTGACATTCTCTTCGCTTCGCTATACTTACCGGACAAGTGTTTGCCTTAAGGGCTTTCCGGCGTCTGGTGGAGTTTTGCGCGCATTGCTTTACCGGACTGGTGCTTGCCTGTAATGCGTCGCTTCTGTCGCGGCTTGCCGACGTCTGGTGGGGTTTTTGCATTTTTTCAGGTCTTATTTAACAATTTACTGACTCTTGCAGGACTTAACTTTCTCAATCTCAACTTAATTACTTATACCTACCGTGTTATCGGGACTTGCAGGACTTAACTTTCTCAATCTCAACTCAATTACTATACCTACCGTGTTATCGGGACTTGCAGGACTTAACTTTCTCAATCTCAACTTAATTACTTATACCTACCGTGTTATCGGGACTTGCAGGACTTAACTTTCTCAATCTCAACTTATTACTTAACCTACCGTGTTATCGGGACTTGCAGGACTTAACTTTCTCAATCTCAACTTAATTACTTTTCCTACCGGTTTATCGGGACTTGCAGGACTTAACTTTCTCAATCTCAACTCAATTACTTATACCTACCGTGTTATCGGACTTGCAGGACTTAACTTTCTCAATCTCAACTTAATTACTTATACCTACCGTGTTATCGGGACTTGCAGGACTTAACTTTCTCAATCTCAACTTAATTACTTATACCTACCGTGTTATCGGGACTTGCAGGACTTAACTTTCTCAATCTCAACTTAATTACTTATACCTACCGTGTGCCTAAAAATTTTAACTCTTTTTTTAACGGTTTACTTGTGCCTGACATTCTCTTCGCTTCGCTTTACTTTACCGGACAAGTGTTTGCCTTAAGGGGCTTTCCGGCGTCTGGTGGAGTTTTGCGCGCATTGCTTTACCGGACTGGTGCTTGCCTGTAATGCGTCGCTTCTGTCGCGGCTTGCCGACGTCTGGTGGGGTTTTGCATTTTTTCAGGTCTTATTTTAACAATTTACTGACTCTTGCAGGACTTAACTTTCTCAATCTCAACTTAATTACTTATACCTACCGTGTGCCTAAAAATTTTAACTCTTTTTTTTAACGGTTACTGTGCCTGACATTCTCTTCGCTTCGCTTTACTTTACCGGACAAGTGTTTGCCTTAAGGGGCTTTCCGGCGTCTAGTGGAGTTTTGCGCGCATTGCTTTACCGGACTGGTGCTTGCCTGTAATGCGTCGCTTCTGTCGCGGCTTGCCGACGTCTGGTGGGGTTTTGCATTTTTTCAGGTCTTATTTTAACAATTTACTGACTCTTGCAGGACTTAACTTTCTCAATCTCAACTTAATTACTTATACCTACCGTGTTATCGGGACTTGCAGGACTTAACTTTCTCAATCTCAACTTAATTACTTATACCTACCGTGTTATCGGACTTGCAGGACTTAACTTTCTCAATCTCAACTCAATTACTTATACCTACCGTGTTATCGGGACTTGCAGGACTTAACTTTCTCAATCTCAACTTAATTACTTATACCTACCGTGTTATCGGGACTTGCAGGACTTAACTTTCTCAATCTCAACTTAATTACTTATACCCACGTGTTTATCGGGACTTGCAGGACTTAACTTTCTCAATCTCAACTTAATTACTTATACCTACCGTGTTATCGGGACTTGCAGGACTTAACTTTCTCAATCTCAACTCAATTACTTATACCTACCGTGTTATCGGGACTTGCAGGACTTAACTTCTAATCTCAACTTAATTACTTATACCTACCGTGTATCGGGACTTGCAGGACTTAACTTTCTCAATCTCAACTTAATTACTTATACCTACCGTGTTATCGGGACTTGCAGGACTTAACTTTCTCAATCTCAACTTAATTACTTATACCTACCGTGTGCCTAAAATTTTAACTCTTTTTTTAACGGTTTACTTGTGCCTGACATTCTCTTCGCTTCGCTTTACTTTACCGGACAAGTGTTTGCCTTAAGGGGCTTTCCGCGTCTGGTGGAGTTTTGCGCGCATTGCTTTACCGGACTGGTGCTTGCCTGTAATGCGTCGCTTCTGTCGCGGCTTGCCGACGTCTGGTGGGGTTTTTGCATTTTTTCAGGTCTTATTTTAACAATTTACTGACTCTTGCAGGACTTAACTTCTCAATCTCAACTTAATTACTTATACCTACCGTGTTATCGGGACTTGCAGGACTTAACTTTCTCAATCTCAACTTAATTACTTATACCTACCGTGTTATCGGGACTTGCAGGACTTAACTCTCTCAATCTCAACTTAATTACTTATACCTACCGTGTTATCGGGACTTGCAGGACTTAACTTTCTCAATCTCAACTTAATTACTTATACCTACCGTGTGCCTAAAAATTTTAACTCTTTTTTTAACGGTTTACTTGTGCCTGACATTCTCTTCGCTTCGCTTTACTTTACCGGACAAGTGTTTGCCTTAAGGGGCTTTCCGGCGTCTGGTGGAGTTTTGCGCGCATTGCTTTACCGGACTGGTGCTTGCCTGTAATGCGTCGCTTCTGTCGCGGCTTGCCGACGTCTGGTGGGGTTTTGCATTTTTTCAGGTCTTATTTTAACAATTTACTGACTCTTGCAGGACTTAACTTTCTCAATCTCAACTTAATTACTTATACCTACCGTGTTATCGGGACTTGCAGGACTTAACTTTCTCAATCTCAACTTAATTACTTATACCTACCGTGTTATCGGGACTTGCAGGACTTAACTTTCTCAATCTCAACTTAATTACTTATACCTACCGTGTGCCTAAAAATTTTAACTCTTTTTTAACGGTTTACTTGTGCCTGACATTCTCTTCGCTTCGCTTTACTTTACCGGACAAGTGTTTGCCTTAAGGGGCTTTCCGGCGTCTGGTGGAGTTTTGCGCGCATTGCTTTACCGGACTGGTGCTTGCCTGTAATGCGTCGCTTCTGTCGCGGCTTGCCGACGTCTGGTGGGGTTTTGCATTTTTTCAGGTCTTATTTTAACAATTTACTGACTCTTGCAGGACTTAACTTTCTCAATCTCAACTTAATTACTTATACCTACCGTGTTATCGGGACTTGCAGGACTTAACTTTCTCAATCTCAACTTAATTACTTATACCTACCGTGTTATCGGGACTTGCAGGACTTAACTTTCTCAATCTCAACTCAATTACTTATACCTACCGTGTTATCGGGACTTGCAGGACTTAACTTTCTCAATCTCAACTTAATTACTTATACCTACCGTGTTATCGCGACTTGCAGGACTTAACTTTCTCAATCTCAACTTAATTACTTATACCTACCGTGTTATCGGGACTTGCAGGACTTAACTTTCTCAATCTCAACTTAATTACTTATACCTACCGTGTTATCGGGACTTGCAGGACTTAACTTTCTCAATCTCAACTCAATTACTTATACCTACCGTGTTATCGGGACTTGCAGGACTTAACTTTCTCAATCTCAACTTAATTACTTATACCTACCGTGTTATCGGGACTTGCAGGACTTAACTTTCTCAATCTCAACTTAATTACTTATACCTACCGTGTTATCGGGACTTGCAGGACTTAACTTTCTCAATCTCAACTTAATTACTTATACCTACCGTGTTATCGGGACTTGCAGGACTTAACTTTCTCAATCTCAACTTAATTACTTATACCTACCGTGTTATCGGGACTTGCAGGACTTAACTTTCTCAATCTCAACTTAATTACTTATACCTACCGTGTGCCTAAAAATTTTAACTCTTTTTTTAACGGTTTACTTGTGCCTGACATTCTCTTCGCTTCGCTTTACTTTACCGGACAAGTGTTTGCCTTAAGGGGCTTTCCGGCGTCTGGTGGAGTTTTGCGCGCATTGCTTTACCGGACTGGTGCTTGCCTGTAATGCGTCGCTTCTGTCGCGGCTTGCCGACGTCTGGTGGGGTTTTGCATTTTTTCAGGTCTTATTTTAACAATTTACTGACTCTTGCAGGACTTAACTTTCTCATCTCAACTTAATTACTTATACCTACCGTGTTATCGGGACTTGCAGGACTTAACTTTCTCAATCTCAACTTAATTACTTATACCTACCGTGTTATCGGGACTTGCAGGACTTAACTTTCTCAATCTCAACTTAATTACTTATACCTACCGTGTTATCGGGACTTGCAGGACTTAACTTTCTCAATCTCAACTTAATTACTTATACCTACCGTGTGCCTAAAAATTTTAACTCTTTTTTTAACGGTTTACTTGTGCCTGACATTCTCTTCGCTTCGCTTTACTTTACCGGACAAGTGTTTGCCTTAAGGGGCTTTCCGGCGTCTGGTGGAGTTTTGCGCGCATTGCTTTACCGGACTGGTGCTTGCCTGTAATGCGTCGCTTCTGTCGCGGCTTGCCGACGTCTGGTGGGGTTTTGCATTTTTTCAGGTCTTATTTTAACAATTTACTGACTCTTGCAGTACTTAACTTTCTCAATCTCAACTTAATTACTTATACCTACCGTGTTATCGGGACTTGCAGGACTTAACTTTCTCAATCTCAACTTAATTACTTATACCTACCGTGTTATCGGGACTTGCAGGACTTAACTTTCTCAATCTCAACTTAATTACTTATACCTACCGTGTTATCGGACTTGCAGGACTTAACTTTCTCAATCTCAACTCAATTACTTATACCTACCGTGTTATCGGGACTTGCAGGACTTAACTTTCTCATCTCAACTTAATTACTTATACCTACCGTGTTATCGGGACTTGCAGGACTTAACTTTCTCAATCTCAACTTAATTACTTATACCTACCGTGTTATCGGGACTTGCAGGACTTAACTTTCTCAATCTCAACTTAATTACTTATACCTACCGTGTTATCGGGACTTGCAGGACTTAACTTTCTCAATCTCAACTCAATTACTTATACCTACCGTGTTATCGGGACTTGCAGGACTTAACTTTCTCAATCTCAACTTAATTACTTATACCTACCGTGTTATCGGGACTTGCAGGACTTAACTTTCTCAATCTCAACTTAATTACTTATACCTACCGTGTTATCGGGACTTGCAGGACTTAACTTTCTCAATCTCAACTTAATTACTTATACCTACCGTGTGCCTAAAAATTTTAACTCTTTTTTTAACGGTTTACTTGTGCCTGACATTCTCTTCGCTTCGCTTTACTTTACCGGACAAGTGTTTGCCTTAAGGGGCTTTCCGGCGTCTGGTGGAGTTTTGCGCGCATTGCTTTACCGGACTGGTGCTTGCCTGTAATGCGTCGCTTCTGTCGCGGCTTGCCGACGTCTGGTGGGGTTTTGCATTTTTTCAGGTCTTATTTTAACAATTTACTGACTCTTGCAGGACTTTGCAACTTAATTACTTATACCTACCGTGTGCCTAAAATTTTAACTCTTTTTCTAACGGTTTACTTGTGCCTGACATTCTCTTCGCTTCGCTTTACTTTACCGGACAAGTGTTTGCCTTAAGGGGCTTTCCGGCGTCTGGTGGAGTTTTGCGCGCATTGCTTTACCGGACTGGTGCTTGCCTGTAATGCGTCGCTTCTGTCGCGGCTTGCCGACGTCTGGTGGGGTTTTGCATTTTTTCAGGTCTTATTTTAACAATTTACTGACTCTTGCAGGACTTAACTTTCTCAATCTCAACTTAATTACTTATACCTACCGTGTTATCGGGACTTGCAGGACTTAACTTTCTCAATCTCAACTCAATTACTTATACCTACCGTGTTATCGGGACTTGCAGGACTTAACTTTCTCAATCTCAACTTAATTACTTATACCTACCGTGTGCCTAAAAATTTTAACTCTTTTTTTAACGGTTTACTTGTGCCTGACATTCTCTTCGCTTCGCTTTACTTACCGGACAAGTGTTGCCTTAAGGGGCTTTCCGGCGTCTGGTGGAGTTTTGCGCGCATTGCTTTACCGGACTGGTGCTTGCCTGTAATGCGTCGCTTCTGTCGCGGCTTGCCGACGTCTGGTGGGGTTTGCATTTTTTCAGGTCTTATTTTAACAATTTACTGACTCTTGCAGGACTTTGCAACTTAATTACTTATACCTACCGTGTGCCTAAAAATTTTAACTCTTTTTCTAACGGTTTACTTGTGCCTGACATTCTCTTCGCTTCGCTTACTTTACCGGACAAGTGTTTGCCTTAAGGGGCTTTCCGGCGTCTGGTGGAGTTTTGCGCGCATTGCTTTACCGGACTGGTGCTTGCCTGTATGCGTCGCTTCTGTCGCGGCTTGCCGACGTCTGGTGGGTTTTGCATTTTTCAGGTCTTATTTAACAATTTACTGACTCTTGCAGGACTTAACTTTCTCAATCTCAAATTAATTACTTATACCTACCGTGTTATCGGGACTTGCAGGACTTAACTTTCTCAATCTCAACTCAATTACTTATACCTACCGTGTTATCGGGACTTGCAGGACTTAACTTTCTCAATCTCAACTTAATTACTTATACCTACCGTGTGCCTAAAAATTTTAACTCTTTTTTTAACGGTTTACTTGTGCCTGACATTCTCTTCGCTTCGCTTTACTTTACCGGACAAGTGTTTGCCTTAAGGGGCTTTCCGGCGTCTGGTGGAGTTTTGCGCGCATTGCTTTACCGGACTGGTGCTTGCCTGTAATGCGTCGCTTCTGTCGCGGCTTGCCGACGTCTGGTGGGGTTTTGCATTTTTTCAGGTCTTATTTTAACAATTTACTGACTCTTGCAGGACTTTGCAACTTAATTACTTATACCTACCGTGTGCCTAAAAATTTTAACTCTTTTTCTAACGGTTTACTTGTGCCTGACATTCTCTTCGCTTCGCTTTACTTTACCGGACAAGTGTTTGCCTTAAGGGGCTTTCCGGCGTCTGGTGGAGTTTTGCGCGCATTGCTTTACCGGACTGGTGCTTGCCTGTAATGCGTCGCTTCTGTCGCGGCTTGCCGACGTCTGGTGGGGTTTTGCATTTTTTCAGGTCTTATTTTAACAATTTACTGACTCTTGCAGGACTTAACTTTCTCAATCTCAACTTAATTACTTATACCTACCGTGTGCCTAAAAATTTTAACTCTTTTTTTAACGGTTTACTTGTGCCTGACATTCTCTTCGCTTCGCTTTACTTTACCGGACAAGTGTTGCCTTAAGGGGCTTCCGGCGTCTGGTGGAGTTTTGCGCGCATTGCTTTACCGGACTGGTGCTTGCCTGTAATGCGTCGCTTCTGTCGCGGCTTGCCGACGTCTGGTGGGGTTTTGCATTTTTTCAGGTCTTATTTTAACAATTTACTGACTCTTGCAGGACTTAACTTTCTCAATCTCAACTTAATTACTTATACCTACCGTGTTATCGGGACTTGCAGGACTTAACTTTCTCAATCTCAACTTAATTACTTATACCTACCGTGTTATCGGGACTTGCAGGACTTAACTTTCTCAATCTCAACTTAATTACTTATACCTACCGTGTTATCGGGACTTGCAGGACTTAACTTTCTCAATCTCAACTTAATTACTTATACCTACCGTGTTATCGGGACTTGCAGGACTTAACTTTCTCAATCTCAACTTAATTACTTATACTACCGTGTTATCGGGACTTGCAGGACTTAACTTTCTCAATCTCAACTTAATTACTTATACCTACCGTGTTATCGGGACTTGCAGGACTTAACTTTCTCAATCTCAACTTAATTACTTATACCTGCCGTGTTATCGGGACTTGCAGGACTTAACTTTCTCAATCTCAACTTAATTACTTATACCTACCGTGTGCCTAGAAATTTTAACACTTTTTTTAGCGGTTATCAGGACTTGCAGGACTTGACTTTCTCAATCTCAACTTAATTACTTATACCTACCGTGTGCCTAAAAATTTTAACTCTTTTTTTAACGGTTTTTAATTAATCTCTTGCAGGATTTAATTTTTATCAGGACTTGCAGGACTTAATTTTCTCAATCTCAACTTAATTACTTATACCTACCGTGTGCCTAACAATTTTAACACTTTTTTTAGCGGTTATCAGGACTTGCAGGACTTGACTTTCTCAATCTCAACTTAATTACTTATACCTACCGTGTGCCTAAAAATTTTAACTCTTTTTTTAACGGTTTTTAATTAATCTCTTGCAGGATTTAATTTTTATCAGGACTTGCAGGACTTAATTTTCTCAATCTCAACTTAATTACTTATACCTACCGTGTTATCGGGACTTGCAGGACTTAACTTTCTCAATCTCAACTTAATTATTACTTATACCTACCGTGTTATCGGGACTTGCAGGACTTAACTTTCTCAATCTCAACTTAATTACTTATACCTACCGTGTTATCGGGACTTGCAGGACTTAACTTTCTCAATCTCAACTTAATTACTTATACCTACCGTGTGCCTAAAAATTTTAACTCTTTTTTTAACGGTTTACTTGTGCCTGACATTCTCTTCGCTTCGCTTTACTTTACCGGACAAGTGTTTGCCTTAAGGGGCTTTCCGGCGTCTGGTGGATTTTTGCGCGCATTGCTTTACTGGACTGGTGCTTGCCTGTAATGCGTCGCTTCTGTCGCGGCTTGCCGACGTCTGGTGGGGTTTTGCATTTTTTCAGGTCTTATTTTAACAATTTACTGACTCTTGCAGGACTTAACTTTCTCATTCTCAACTTAATTATTTATACCTACCGTGTTATCGGGACTTGCAGGACTTAACTTTCTCAATCTCAACTTAATTACTTATACCTACCGTGTTATCGGGACTTGCAGGACTTAACTTTCTCAATCTCAACTTAATACTTATACCTACCGTGTGCCTAAAAATTTTAACTCTTTTTTTAACGGTTTACTTGTGCCTGACATTCTCTTCGCTTCGCTTTACTTTACCGGACAAGTGTTTGCCTTAAGGGGCTTTCCGGCGTCTGGTGGAGTTTTGCGCGCATTGCTTTACCGGACTGGTGCTTGCCTGTAATGCGTCGCTTCTGTCGCGGCTTGCCGACGTCTGGTGGGGTTTTGCATTTTTTCAGGTCTTATTTTAACAATTTACTGACTCTTGCAGGACTTAACTTTCTCAATCTCAACCTAATTACTTATACCTAAAGTGTTATCGGGACTTGCAGGACTTAACCTTCTCAATCTCAACTTAATTACTTATACCTACCGTGTGCCTAAAAATTTTAACACTTTTTTAGCGGTTATCAGGACTTGCAGGACTTGACTTTCTCAATCTCAACTTAATTACTTATACCTACCGTGTGCCTAAAAATTTTAACTCTTTTTTTAACGGTTTTTAATTAATCTCTTGCAGGATTTAATTTTTATCAGGACTTGCAGGACTTAATTTTCTCAATCTCAACTTAATTACTTATACCTACCGTGTGCCTAAAAATTTTAACACTTTTTTTAGCGGTTATCAGGACTTGCAGGACTTGACTTTCTCAATCTCAACTTAATTACTTATACCTACCGTGTGCCTAAAAATTTTAACTCTTTTTTTAACGGTTTTTAATTAATCTCTTGCAGGATTTAATTTTTATCAGGACTTGCAGGACTTAATTTTCTCAATCTCAACTTAATTACTTATACCTACCGTGTGCCTAAAAATTTTAACACTTTTTTTAGCGGTTATCAGGACTTGCAGGACTTGACTTTCTCAATCTCAACTTAATTACTTATACCTACCGTGTGCCTAAAAATTTTAACTCTTTTTTTAACGGTTTACTTGTGCCTGACATTCTCTTCGCTTCGCTTTACTTTACCGGACAAGTGTTTGCCTAAGGGGCTTTCGGCGTCTGGTGGAGTTTTGCGCGCATTGCTTTACCGGACTGGTGCTTGCCTGTAATGCGTCGCTTCTGTCGCGGCTTGCCGACGTATGGTGGGGTTTGCATTTTTTCAGGTCTTATTTTAACAATTACTGACTCTTGCAGGACTTAACTTTCTCAATCTCAACCTAATTACTTATACTACCGTGTTATCAGGACTTGCAGGACTTGACTTTCTCAATCTCAACTTAATTACTTAACCTA